CACGGGGCAGTCAGGAGGTAGCGACCAGTGGTTTATCGATAAGCCACGCGTACTATTTTAATCTCTGTGATAGCTGGTGTCGTGTTGTTGGGCGGCGGGAGGCGGGATTATTTACTACCGATAAACCACGTATATGGTGGAGTTTTGTAGAAATTTCTCGAATGTTTTGCTTGAAAAGCACATGTCTTCTATATCGCGTTTTTGGTTTCTTAACAATAACTTTTTTTTTTGATTTACAAATAGTGTTCTTTCTTATTCGAACTCAAAATCGACAATAAAACTAGTACGTATGCGAGAGCCGTGTATTGCGTTTTCAGAACGTGCTATTACGTTAAAAAGTCATATACAGTTTTTCCCAATGCTGTTACTAAGGTATAGACAAATCAATAGTTTGACTGTTTTGTTTATTCTTCCAGTATGGCATCATGGCCTTGGTGTCGATCTGAAAGTTAGAACGCGAAAGTTAACAAATTTTTTTGAATCAATTGTCAATTTCAGGCCTCAATTGTAGCCGTTGTTCTTTATCAGTGATTTCGATCAATCAGTAAATAGAATATCATCGACCAGACAAAAGCGTGCAAATGTTCTAGCTGTAAGCGTTAATTAAAATGAAACTCTAGTATGAAAATCAATATTTGCTTTTAAATACGGAATCTGTTTGATCCAGCATAGATAATTGGACTCCAAAGTCAGTAAAGCTATTTTACAAGCTTGCATCCAATCAGTAAGTTTTTTCTTTCCCTATCTACTTTGCCCGAATCTAAAAAGTCTTGAGTTATCCAGTTTAGTTTATTGTTTCATAAAGAGCATTTTGCAATAATCTGATCTTATTGTCCTACGTATATAGAGTAATCATCTAAACAATACTGCACGCCGGTGATGCACGTTACCATCTTTGAATTCTCTTAATCATGCATGGTGTTAGACTATTCTTGGACTAGATCTTTGTTTCAAGCGCTTGTCCAATAAATGTAAGTAAACATCTGTTTATAGTAATAGCGAATTTTGATAAGCAGCACGCTATTTATCTTTCTGAGGAACCCCCCTAGAAATCTTGTTATACGGCTGTCACGAAAGCAGCCCATTTGGTTACCAGTAGTTGTTATAATGAAAAACTTTATTAACGTCTGAATTCAGCATTTCATCAACAAATTGTTAGGAGAAGACAACATTACAACAAATGGTTTGTTCGTCCGTTGATTCATAAGTCAAAAGGTGATGGAAAGAACAATGACCAACTTTTTAACTACATTCTTGGAAATGACATGGAATAAAGTAATCAGCAAGGAGGCGTTTCTTGAAAAAAATTTCAACTAAATGTATGGAATGACATTCTCGATAATATACGTATTGACAGTTGTTTTTACATTTGGCTTGATACTTGCTCAGTGACGAAATTTTCCTGAATCTGTTAATTCGTTGCTTTTTTCTTTAATTTTACAATACATTAGACGAGAAAAGTACAGTTCAAATGGAGCATTCAATGACATCTATGAGATAAGTTATCTACCCCATCGAAAATAAAAATTACTATTCGGATTTTGTAAATTGAGCTTCGTTGTCTTGTTTATTTTGTGCGGCATTTTCATCGATACTCTTTTATGGACAAGTCACTCCCACCTACTCCCTCATAGAGCGTTTCTATAGATTAAATCACATTCGTATTAAGCGGCAATAGAAATTGTCTTGCTCACGAACTCGGATATTTATATCGGATAACTCTCTTCATTTATTAGTTACATATTTTTCTTGTATACTATTATTCTTATTTATCGCAACTGTGAATTTTTAGCTATCACACGTTTGATTTGCAGATGAGAACGAGAACCGTACGGTCTATATCCATCAAAGTTTCAGCGTTTCAAAGGGTTTGGTCTATTACTGTTGCAGATTTTTATCATTTTAAAGTCCATATCATGCCAGATATGCATAACGTTGATACCATCTGCTGCCTGCTTGTCGCTCTGCCAATAAGGGTTTGAAAGAGTATCATCCGCACGGGTGAAATTAATGACCCAGACTTCAACTCCGGCTGCTCCAGCTTTAGAAAAATTCTTTGCATATTCAAGTGACCGGGTAAAATGTTCAAGTTCTTTATCAGTTCCTGCGGCCAAAACTTCAAGTATAACCACTGGCTGGTGACTTCATATGAGTACTGCCGGAGCCAGCCCACCAAGACCCTATTCAACTCCATATCATACGTACTTTCTCGAGGGACAGCAGTGTTTCGAACGCCTCCCACAGGGACTTTTGCCATCTTAAACGATCGATTGGGTGCTTGACAAATGATAGTTTGATCAAAAAATTTCAAAGCATTTTTCAAGATTTCTGCTATTATTAGTATGTTGGCTGAATTTTTGGGAGGAGGCAATGGAAGTTTTTTTCAAATTCGGTAATGCTGCGACGTCGGATTATCATGTCGATGTAAGGGGATGATATTTTGAAAGTGTCCCTTTTGTTGACATTTCCAACGATCTCAAGAACGCCTAGGCCTACTAGAAATCCTCCTATTTCGCGTTCATGATCATTTGTGACAACAACAGGGTCTAGAGATCCAAGGAAATAGGTACGGAGGAGTTTCATAGCACCTTCTTTCTTGTGGAGAATTTTTAACATATCATCAAACGTAGCATACGTTGGTATTTCATTCTGCAAGTTGATCGCACTATAGAATACCCACTCAGCGAACGTCATATTTGTTTTACCACACTTGCGGTGCCAGTTTCTCAGCCAGTTTTCAATTGCACGTCCACAGAGATTAATGAGACCATTATAAAGAGAGAAATTTTCAATTCTCATAAATCTTGAATATGAGAGCTTGCCTTACATATTACATACCTGTTTGAATTTTGATAGATCATTTCTATAGCATGGTCTGCAACATTATATCCAACATCTGAATAATCCTCATGGAATTGTTGGAAAAGGCATTTTACATCTTTTTTGGTAAACTTTGGATTAATAAAGGTGTTAAATACGTTGAACGGGCGAGTAATAGTGATTTCTTGAGCTCAGCTGCAAGATGTTAAAAGTGCCAATTCCAATTATAGACTGCACAGCAGATGTGTCATTGGTCTTGATTCCACGGACAGTGTTCAGGAAAGACACGTGTATTCTATCATTGACAGAAACACAGGCGAATTCGTCTACAAAGATAATGAGAGGATTTGCTGGTGCTTGCTGTGCCTGCTCTGCACGAAAATTCCTCACTTCACTCCAAAGTAAAGAGAGAGAGTCTATCAACAGCAGATGGCTGCTATCCTATCAAACTGGCTTGGAAAATTGGACTACAGAGTCACAGGCCAATACTGCATCAATTATGTTGAGGATGGAGAACTGGTACACAAGTACTGTGATGTGGTGATTACATCATGTAGAAACTGAAAGGAACATCCATCAGCACTTCTTGAACTTGAAATGGCAATTGGTGAGTGGCATAGTTGCTTTGCTTCAACACACTAGAACACTTGCTTGAACTTTCAATTTATCACTTCTGTTATATGTTAGTATTAGGCAATAATATAATCATTATATTAATATTCAGCAATTTCAATACTGTTTTACTATGCCAACAATACAATAATATTTCTTGAACTTATCTAATCTGGGAACTAATTCCAATCAATCCAACTAATATGAGATGAGATGCTTTACTATTACAGCATCTACATTGGTTGAAAGCCAAAAAAATGTTTCATGCTTTAATTAATAATGAGTTCTAATGTGGGTACCACTGTCAAGACTCATTATCATTATACTGTATTGTCACCTATGATGTGGTCATAGTCAGGGACTGTCAACATCAAACTGCTCAGCAAAAGATAAATATTATTATATAATAAGAAGGTATCACAGTTGACCACCAAGCTAATCGTTTATATTTCAAAAGGCCGCGTCAACCGAACACGAAATCATGGCAAGATAG